GATGGTTTATTTGTGAAGCTTTCATTGTCATTCTAGACAAAATTATTGATTCTGACTAGAATGTCAGTCCAAGTCTTATTGAGAGCAGCATCACTCACTGATATGCAGGTACATTCAAATGACAAATGGTAAATAGGACGAAACACGAGTCCTGGATTCCACTACTAGTCACCAGGATGAATACAACACTGACTACGTTAAATCCAAACCTTATAGGTTTGGATTATGAAGAGGACTTAACGAAACATATAAAAGATACCTTGTTATTCTACTCAATTCATTGGTCCAGTTCATCCTCAGTTCATAAGGGCAATTATATGCACAGACTTACGTTCTCTTCTTTAAGACAACAAAGAAGTTATAAGCTGCTTAAAAGAGGATTTTGATTGACGACATATTCTATTAAATGCTGTATCGAAAGAAAACTTAGGCGACATTTTAATTCTTCACTCGATAGTAACCAATCCCATTAATTCTTAATCGAATTAACTGCAGATGAGTGTCTGTCAGTCAAATTTTGAGTTTCATCAATAAGAACTAAGTTACGTGGCATCAGAATCCATTGTGATTTGAGATAGGAAGGTTCCAGCTAGTCAGTAAGCCAATGTACTTGTCCCTATATTTATTATACGTCGGCACTCGTAGTTAAGTGATACTTTTTACAAATCTGGACATGGAAAGAATTTCGTGGCTAAAATGTTAACGTTGTAAATGAAAATTTCGTAACACTGGTCTTTCACTTCGTACTTACTAGATTCAATTAATGGCTCAACTAATGACAATCATATTGAATGTAAGTAAGGTTTTGAGGGTTGAATTTTGTAAGTTCATTCTTCTGAATAGATTAGATGTACAGTAACAATCTTATTATCAATAAGAGAATACAATCAGAGAAATTACAAAAAGGATACTCAAGGCTGAGGGAACTTGTGGGTAGTACTTTATCAGTATTTATCTCGCATCTAAAGGAAATTCCTAGTAGTAGTGAAGGAATGGGGTTTATTAAAAACTCACCTTCGAGAGGATAAGAAAGCGTTTTGTAGCTTAAGATGAAGGTGATAATTATTTCATGGTCTCTAAGATTTAGGGTTTGTTCATGAAAGTTTTATCACTAGGCTAGGTGATTTCTTTACGAAGTTAATGTTCATGAAGTCATCTGGCCTGCCGATGAAACACCCAAGAAAAAACCTACAAACTCAGAGAACAGTTAAGAATCAACAAATGTTCCTTTATCACTGAAATGTGCTGAAGATCACCACAAATCTATAATTACATGGTACTTATGGTATTTATAGACTGACTTTAAATAGTGCCCTTATTATTAATTGTCGCTTGGGTTACCAGTGGGACATACGGCTTCAGTAGCACATCGCCATTTCACTTTTTTCTATGCCCAGAAACTCTCATTTCTTCCTCACAAATTCTCCTCCACCCCACCCTCGCCTCGGACGCCCAACTAGTCGTTTCCCATTCGGCTTACAATCGAAGGTCTGGTCTGGCCTGACGCGTGATGCCCCGAAACTGTCTCCTCAGTGTATGCCTGATCCATCTCCACCTTCTTCCTCTGCAAAATTGTTGGGCGATAGGTTGCTGGTTGGTTAGTTCGTTGTCAGCCAGCCAGCCAACCAGCCACAGTAGATGATAGCTGTTGATGAATGTCTGTAGCTTGTTGGAAATGCCTTCCATAACGTGACAAGTCTCTCAACCATCACATAGAAGCACTGACAGACTTGACTGACATCAGTGTTGAGAATCTGGATGTTGTTCACTCTTTATGTTGAGTGCAGTGTAGTGCAGTGTTGTGCAGTAGATCTCTACACTGATTATTTCCGATTAATGCAGGAAGGCCAGTCCTACTGTTTTTTTCGATCGTGGCTGGATTTGACATCCTTATTTGTGCCTGTGCCGCCTGTAGTTGAAACGATGCTCCCTAGTTAGGTGCATTTGTGAAAGAGATAACGTCCTAGCAACTGCTAAATATAAACGAATCAAATGTCAGAATTTCTTCTGGAAAGATAGCTTTTCATGGAATTGAGGAACAATATTGGTTATTTCAGCAGTTGCTAGGGTGGCCTTTAAAGTCTCCCATGTAATTAATGGTTGAAGATGTAATTTCTTTTGTCCAGGCACTTATTTTTGCAGACAAAAGTAACTTCTTATAATGGGCGAATTTAAGGGTCACCCTAGTAACAACCGAAATAACCAATCAGACTATTGTGTTTTATAAAAATCACCCTTTCCAGTCAAAATGAAGAAATCTGATTGGTTAGTTTGACCGTTGCTATGGTGGCCTTTAAATTCACCCTTCATAAATACTAAGGGGACCTGGGATGCAGTGTCATCTCTTTACATCTGAATACTGAACCCACAGACAAAAAGCCATAAAAATCAAAATTTACTCAAAGAGTCAATAAATACTGTGAATATATTCAAAAGTAGATTTGCTTGAATACTCTGTTACTGGGTCCGATAAACTACAAACTTTGTTGCTGTAATACCATTTAAAGTATGGAACGATGTGACGATTACAAATCTTGAGAGGTATTTCCACTAAGTAAATTGTTATTGTGCTTGGAAAGAGATCGTTTTACTTGGAAATTTCCCAAAACAATCTATTACAGCGTGTTTCAGGTAGAGATGTATACAAAGAGGACATAACAGAAGTGAGTCAACATATATTTTTAAGCGATTGACAAAAGGAAATAAAAAACCGGGATTGTAGGAAAATCAGTAATGCAGGTAAACAAACTATAGTTTTGTATATGTCAATAAAAATGTAGACAATGACATTAAGAAAAATTATTTTCAACTTCATGATTTATAAAAAAGTATGTATATGGTCTCTACATCAGACAAACTGAGAACCGTGTATCCTACTCCTGCCAACAATAAACAGGAAATCGAGGATTTACCTTATACAACAAATTAATATGTTACTGATTGCTTCCAAACACAACTCAGTATCACACTATATATATATATATATATATATATATATATATATATATATATATATGTCCCGTGTATCAGATATTTTCTGAATAACTTAACAATAACGTTTTTGATAATGTTGTGTTCTCTGAGTTGCATGGTTTAATCGTAAAGCTTTCATTGTCATCCTCTCTCTAGACAACATCATTAACACAAACTTCAGAAAGAAATGAGCTATACGATTTCCTCCACATATGAACCAAGAACTTATCCTGATAACCTTGGGTGTGATTGGATCTTCCGACTAAGATCCTGTCATCACCTCCATACTCATTTCCATTAGTTATCCTGTCGATGTGGACTCTGAGATTCTTTTCGATCAAATCAAAACTGTGAGTCCGATATGTAGATGACACATCTGTCATCACTGAAATAAACGAATCAGCAAAAGCTCGTACAAACTAATCAACAATGTTTCCGATGACATCGAATTCACAACTGAAGAGGAATCCAACAAAACACTTGCATTTATACACATTCTGATCACTAGAAGGGATTAGGGGAAGTTGGAAACTGAAGTGTGTAGAAAGCCAACTCATAGGAATTGAACTCTCAGATATATCAGCAACAGTGCAACAACTCACAAAAGCAGTGGTATGGAAACATTGTTGAAAAGAGTGAAGACACAGTGGTAAATCAGCGTTGAGTAGAAGAAAAGGAAAGTGTCTAATGACTATTTTCGAGAGGAACGGCTTTACACGTAACTTCATTGAAGGATGTTTATGTAACTCACTGTCAATTAAAAAGTCATCCTTGAAAACCAATATGATGAATATCTCCGAGATCGTAACTGGATTACTGAGGCCTCATGAAACTATTGTAGTTCACATGTCTACAAGATATCTTCACTGTTCATTATGCAGAGCAAGAGATGTAATAGGAAAGGGAAATGAGCCAGTTGATATCTAGAAGATAAACAGCAGAAACTGTGGAGAAACACTACATCGGAGAGAGTAGTCACTCTCTTCATCTCCGTTTGCATGAACATCAAGTCAAGTATCAATGAAGCTTCATGACATATCTTTGTTGATATGGAAGTATACGGGTAACTGTGGAAATGTACTGGACTGGAAAGATGTGTGAATGGTGAATGGTGGAAAGTTAGAGAATGCCAGAGAATTATTCCTAGAATCGTCCCGATAAGGAAATAATCTCAGAATGCAACATTGTTATGATGTCAGCTTAGTGACTGGCTGCAGTTAACGTCATAGATATTACTTAATACAATTAAAAAAGTATTGGGTGATGATAGAAGATGAAATGAAAATCTGCGCCACGGCAAGATTCGAACTGGCGACCTGAGGTTTCTTGTTCGAACTCTGCCGTGACCTCAGTTTTTATTTCATCTGCATTCATCATACAATATCAGCACAAGTCTGTCAAACGACAGGTATCTTAGATAATCAAACATTTTAGTAAGTAGTAACAACATTCAATCTTGTTCATCATATTCAATTTCATTTCATTATTGTATAGTTCACATTATATATTCCAAACAAATCCTTATCATGGATATTCTAAATTCTATTAAATTTCAGTGTCATTCATGATGAACACTTTTGTGTAATTTATTTATTGAAAATATGAATTATAAAAAATATTTTCCATTGTTTTACTACATAGCCAATTTGTCCTAATCAGTGTGTTACACATAAACAAAGTGTACACATTGTACATTTTATGCATTGAACAAGGTTGGATACATCAAGCATATTGCACAACATATATGACGATGCACACACACACATACAAGATTATGAAGATCATTATATGTAGTAAGTATGAAATGTTAATGATATTCACAGTTACGAAACATCCTGATTACCAGTTCACAGACTGGCTTCATGTGAACCATTTGAATGATAATTCTTCGTGAATTAACCAATCGAAATTATAGTGAATAGTATAATTTAAAGGTTTTTGTTGAAACTCTAGGTTATATATGCAGATATATATATATATATATATCCTCTACATGCTAGTATATAGTTGAATTTCCTGTCACTATTATGCATTCAACAAGCATTTACATCATATACCTTATTTGCATTACCCTATTAGTAGTTGAAAGAGCTCACTGTGCTGAGCATAACTCCGGTCAACATGATGACGAAGAACTTTTGTCCGGAATTATAGAAGAACATAATGACGATAGCAATAATACTAATAATCATGATGAGGATAAACTCGATGAACATAATCATAGTGGACATCATAAAGGATATCGTCATCATACAGTAAGTCAACTTGATTTATATGTGAATTTAATTATGTCTATTTTGTAAGTGATTTATTTTCCTAAACTAACCTGAATAGTGGCTGGCCTTGGAATCCATGACGCATATCTTGTCATGTTTGTGACTCGTCAGCTGGATTCACCTGGCCATAATGAGGGAAGTTATTCCCACTGCTATTTAAACTCTAGACAGATGGTTTCAAATACCCTAGCGTCACTCACTGGACCACAAGCGACAAGGAATCCTAAAGTCAGTTTTAGCATCATGCACTGACGTTAGTTGCTTTGCTGTCATTGTGGTAAGCTACTAAGTAGTGCACAACAACAACAATTATATACGGAACCTACCTCATGGTGGTACAGATATGCCTTGCTGACGAGTGCCAGAAAGCACGAAACCTAGGTCCAGGGCTTCCTGTCGATCGCCTACAACCAACTAACATCTACTCATGTGTACTGCTATGTTGAGCTTCCTAGCTTGGTTACCATATTGCAAATATGATTGATAGGATTTGGTCTGCACTGAGGACTAGACAACATGAAATTGATTACACTCCCGTGACAAATTAATACGTGTTGTGAAGTTATCATGAGAAGTTTACTGGGTGTAAATCGATTGGTCCATAACCTAAAACTTGCAAATTTCGATATATTCCACCCATCATTCAATGTCCTTGATGTGTAACCGCTTTTACTTCCTACTTAATAAATCAAACAGATTATGAATTTCCCTTATTGCTAACTGACACAATGTTGTTGCTCAGTTAGGATTTATTGATTTGAAAACAGTTTTCATCACGGATAAACTTTCGTGATAGGTCTATTATAAATCGCATAAACTACTACAGTCTACCTTTATGACTTGGGGATCCTAAGGAGTTGGTATGTACCAGTGTGTACAGAATCCAGTTTTGTACCGTCAGCACATGCTAAGCAAACGTTATCATTCTGTCAATGGAATGATAACTAAGACTGCGTCAATGCTTACTACTGGATTCGAACCCAGTAAGTGTACAATAAAGTATTCAGAGCAAAGTGATTTGGTCTCTGGCTTGCTTTTGTGTGCCACTAAGCAGGGTTGTACTGCTGAACAGTTCTGACATGAGAAGAAACGAATGTTTAGAACACTTTCCTAGGTTTCTTCAATGGCTTTTGATTAATAGTAAAATTACCTCGAAATCAACCAGTCTACTGAAAAAAAATTAAATTACCTATATATGAATAACTTTAAGGGTTAGCTCAGCAACCAGTAGGTTGCTCAGTTAGGTTTCTTCGATTAGTTTAGAAAAGTAATTTTTGTAAAATAGAGGAGTCTAATTCGTTTATTAATTATTTTGTAAAGTCTTCTTAAAGTCACTTCCATATACACAAATTTTCTGATATCATGTGAAGTTATCTCAATAGCTATATGATAACGCTACATGCCAAGTGATTCACAATAGAAAGCACAGTAATGCATTGGAAGTAAAGGCATTGTGGTCGACTGGACTGAAATGGTTCATGCAAGGAACTGTGAGGAGCTGTGAGAACATGGGCATACACTGTTTGACCGATAAAAAGACCTTAAGAGATTTAGACTTTACCCAAGATGATCTATGTTGCACAAACTGGAAGATGTACACGCGAAAACTAAAAAGTTGACAGAAGAGGCAAGGCGGGGCAGTGGAGACGGAACTTCCTTCAAGTGAACGTGGAGAAGACAGAGTGGATGCAGATACCCAAACAACAACAACAATAACAAGCACCACAAACGGGAGAAATCTAAACGAAGTTGTTTCTCTCACCTAACCAGTCAGCATCCTTTCAACGACAGGTGGCACAAGCACACATGAACATGTCAAAGCCAGACACGATCGGAGACACAGCAAGACGGGACTTCCTGCATTAATCGGAAATAATCAGTGTGGAGATCTACTGCACAACACTGCACTACACCGCACTGCACTGCACTCAACATAAAGAGTGAACAACATCCAGATTCTCAACACTGATGTCAGTCAAGTCTGTCAGTGCTTCAATGTGATGGTTGAGAGACTTGGCGCCTTATGAAAGGCATTTCCAACAAGCTACAGACATTCATGAACAACTGTCATCTACGCTCAGTCGATAGTGACAGTGAAGAAGGATGAGATGGTTAGGATAGTAGGAATAAGCAAGAAGTAACTGTGGTTGGGTGGCTGGCTGGCCGGTAACGAACTAACCTATCACCCAACAAATATGCAGAGCAACAAAGTGGAAACGGATTGCATTGGATTTTGCATAGACTGAGGAAAGGGTTCGGGGACATTACGCGTCAGGCCAGACCGTCGACTGGGAGCTGAATGGGAAACAACGAGTTAGGTGTCCGAGGTCAGGGTGACATGGAAGAGATCACGTGAGAGTGAAATGAAAGCTTGTGGGCAGTGGTATAGCCGGGTGTAAAAGACTGCATAGAAGAGAGTGAAATGGCGATGTGCTACTGAAGCCTTATGGTTCACTAGGAACCGAAGTTATAAATAATAATTAATAATAATATTTATACCTGTTGTTCAGGTGGTGATTGTCATTCCCCAGCAGCCCAGTAAATAAATTTCAAGTGTTTTATGTGGTTAGTATTGGTGTTGAGTTGCAGTGTGAATATTATAACTCACTGAAGTGAAGGTCCACCCAGCTTACAAATTCCAAATGTAACAAAATGCGCATCCTTGACTTCCCTGCCAGACGCCAAAATGCAAATTTTACGGTAGTGACTCTTCAGGCAATGTTTAGGCCTCCACGTTTTGGCTCATATGCCAAAAGAGTTCTTTCAAGTCGATATTCATCATGGACTGATATCAGTTGCAGGAACATCGGAAATCGTTGAGCACTCGACAGGTGTTTCCTCCTAGTACGGGACTCCTCATCAGTGTGCACCCATGACCCCACCAGGGATTGAACTATGGACCACCACATTCCATGTTACTATTAAACTACTGGGTCGGAATCCAGCGGTCCGTAATTTCTACTTCTCATAGTTCATGACATAGGACTACCTCCATCCAATATCGTCATTGAGTAGCTGTCCTCATTTTCGACTTGGCTGGCTTCACTGGTCATGACATCTCATTGGGACTTCACGAATCACCTCTCGAAGATAGCCACCAATGAGCACCATATTAATTCGATTTGTAGGTTTGTGGAGATTAAATGATCTTTCATGTTGGTATTCATCATGGACTGACATTTAGCGCTCATTGGTGACTAACTTCGGGAGATGGTGATCCGGTATAACAGTTTGAAATACTTTAAATTCCGCATTAAATCAGTTCACACTTGACTTTGTATCAACAAACGGGGACAGAATGTTAAGTTTCATTCATTTCATGCGTATCAGTCTATGTACAACTTCCATAAGCGCTAATTTTCAAAACTTTAATTCTATATCATAACAAAACTGTGCGTTTACGTGAATAAAAGTTTGAGTAATAGTTGAAATCTGAGCTAGCCGAAGCCATTTGGTTTTGCTGTCTGTTAAAACCTTCATTTTGCTAAAATTGTGGGTTTACAATGACTGTATGCCTCTTTCACCTATCTAAGCAGCACTGTCTCAACTACAGGCTGCACAGACGAAGATGTCAAAGTCAGGATCGGAAAAGCAAGACAGGCTGTCATTAGCCTGAAACCAGTGTGGAGATCTTCTGCACTCAGCATGTGGAACAAGATCCAGATTTTCAACACCAACGTCAGTCAAGTCAGTGCTTCTATATGGATTACAGACTTGGTGCGTTACGAAAGGGATTTCCAACAAACTACAGACTTTCACTAACAGCTGCCTTCTTTGGCTTGTTACTCAAGCTCAGATGGCCATAAAGAATATGCAACAAGGAACTCTGGCTGGCTGCAACGAACCAACCAAGAACCTATCGCTCAACAAATATGCAGAAGGAAGTGGAAGTGGAGATGGATTGGGGATACACTGAGAAGGCCGACTGGGGACATCACGCGTCAGACCCTCTATTGGAACCCAAATGGGAAACGACAAGCTGGGTGTTCAAGGCGAGAGTGACATGGAGGAGGTCGTGCGAGGAAGAAATGAGAGCTTGTGGGCTGTCGTGGAGACAGGTTCAAAAGATTTCAGGGAACAGAGGGCATTGGAGACGTGCTACTAAAGCCCTATGTTCCACTAGGAACCCAAGGGACAAATTATCATAATAATACAATGACTGTATATGAACCAATATATTCAAAATAAGACTTTATGAGTTCATTTTCTCGGTTTTAAACTTCAACTAACTAATAACTTGGACATTGACTTCTGAACACTCCCCTAGTTTCTACTTCCCGCTACCATCCCGAATTCTTCATCAAAATCCCACGTTGCTGTTTTTCTGCGATGAAAAATCAAAGCAAGATTATTTTGGTAGTTATCTACCACTGGGGTTATTGTACCAAGTATACCTTTCTACCAAGTTTTATATACAAATAACTGACGATAACTACCAATGATATATCAGCAGCTTTCCACAGTCTGTCGCTCATTATTCCCTACCTTGGAAATGAATCGAAGCAGCTCACCTATTTAAAGTTTTTTACGAAATCAACCCTTAAGGTAGAAATGGCATATCTGCAAGTTTTTCAAACAAACTGAAATAAACACCATGCAGTAATTTAGTCTGAGGCTGTTGAATGTTTCATGAACTGATATCATTTGGAGAGACACACAAAACCTGGGAGTATTGAACAGCTGTCTTATTATACGGTGAGACTCGTTAGCAGATGTACCTCCGACCTCGTCGGGGATCAAACTCAGGACATTTAGTTACCCTGGCGAACGTATTAACCATTGACCCGCTGGATTGATGTCTGATGATCAACAGTCTCTTAATTCTGTCGATTTGCGGTATACAGAGCTCATTAGTGACCTGCTTCCAGATGGATATCCCTAATTTCTCATGAGAATCCGTGCCCTGTTGAGTCAACCAGTTGAAACGGAAGCGGATGCCGACTGAAGACATTTGTGGGTAGTTAGGCTATATCATGAACTGGTGGAAATAAGGACCCCTAGTGGGATGTTGGGTGCGTACTATGTTGCCTCCCCATACTAGGAGGAGGCAGGTGTCCAATACTACCAGACTTTCAACAGTTCTCCAACTAGTGTTAATCTGTGGTGAATAGCACCTTCAAATAAATAAAATTACCATAAACCTCGAAGTGATTTGAAACTAGTTATTCCAATATTTCACTCTAAACAATTTAACCAAGTAACATGAAGGCAAACTAAACCATAGAATGAATGGATTTAGAATTAGTTAGAACTTTTGCTGTTTTGGGGCCGGATGGTCGAAAAAGAAACAACAAGTGAACCAACACCGCCGGCACGACAGACCGTGGGGTATGGTGGCGTACTACGTTTTGGGGCCGACCTTTTCCAACACCCCCTTCCACTAAGAAGGCAGCATCAGCATGGTACTGCGGGTCATCCAAGCGAAACACCCTAATGCTGTCACACCCCATCCAGCTAGCAGCAGCATGACTTCACCCTCAGACTCTCATCATAGTGTAGTAATTTAGACTACAAGTGTTTCATCAGAATAGCCCGACCACCATGTCAAGGTAGCAGCTATCGGTCGGGTAATTAGTTAAAACTCAGTATCACGCCACATTTGCAGATTTATCACAGTAAGTACCTACTTGAATTGACTGAAATAATTTCTTTAACACAGGGTGATCTAACAAATACCAGTCATCAATAAACTATCCCCTGAGTCCAAGTAAGCGTTCATACAAGTGTTAAGTACGTCGAATAAGTTGATGACGAATTGTTTTTCGAATATAAAACACAACTGAAAACAGAGATCGATCAATTCGACCAGGTTTAGCAACGAGAAATTACAAGTACCAATAAACAATAAGTGATACCCGCTGCACAAAAGATGGGCATCTCTTTTCCACCAGTGGTCTAGTGAATAACTCTTTGATATTTGAAGCGATGGGGAATGGATTCGAACCCCAATAGGAACAGTGTGGCCTACTGGGATGAAGGTACACACAGCTGATGAGTCCAAAATACGACGAAACGCGTATACTGGATTCTACTGTTAGTCATGAAATGGACTACAAAGCACAACTAACTTCACATATTTCAATTAGTTCGGCCTGATGGCCAACTCGTTTACCTAATCTCGTCTTACTGAGTGTCAATTTTAGCCCGAATGGTTCAGTTGTAAAATGTGTTACTTCGTAACTGGATGTACGATACAGGCTGGAAGTGTTAAATAAACATGAGTTTCTGAAGGGCGTGATGTGAACAATTTCGGCTTGGTTCAACCGTCATCCAATATCATCGTCATTTATTTGCCCTCACACCCACTGCGCTAGGTATTTCCGAAGTAATAGCAACCTCATAGTTTCAAATCAGAGTCAGATATATTCGTGCCAAGTTAATTCAAGTAAACACATCACCATTTATAGAAGAGGGTTGTGTAAACTCGATTAAAGTAAATAGAAATCTATTGTTTGTTCATATCTTCGATACACCTTTCTCTAATTTGCCTTTGGCCATTTGCGTCATTTCTGATTCCGACTGGTGAGCTGCTAGATATCAAAGGACCGGTATACTGCAATGTAGTTTGTTCTGTCCTGTTAATCAGCTGTGAGACGTGGCCGGTAAAAGTGACAGATATGAAGTGGCTACAAGTTTTTGACCACACGTGTCTTTTCTGCACTGCTCACGTACGGTGGAATCACCATATGAGCAATGTGGCCGTCAGACGAAGGGTACTAGGCAAGACCCACAAACCAGTCGGTGAGGTTGTAAACCTCCACTGACTGAAGTGGCTTGAGCGTGTGTGGCGTATGCTAAGTCACTGCCTACCCTGACGTGAAATGCTGGTGAAGTTGTACTAGATTACAAAAGTGTTCAGGGTGATCACTCTATGAAGTCCTTCAATGTTAGTCTGGAAGGTGTAGACTACTTGGTTAGGGCCCTCACTTTGATATCATTCTTCCCTATCCACTTGGTTCTTGTTTACTGCTGTTAAGTGTTGCAACTTAAACTTGTGTGTGAAGTTCTGCGTTGATTCTGTCTGTCTGCTAATCGGCCTCAATAAATGATGCGTTATGCAGTTAAACTATAGAAGTACTGAAGCGCAAGTCATCTTGGTGACAAGCCAAACTACAGACATAAAAGTTATGACTTTACAACTCTTCAGGTTTAATTGATATTTCAAGACTACGTTTACTTTGACGTTACAACAGAGAAAGTCGCAATCATATGACAAAAAGTTAAGAATCCACATCAAGTCTAATGGTTCCAAATGACGGTTTTTGACTTAATTCCATCCAACGTTATAGGTGTATACTCTTGATGAGTTCCATGAAACGGATAACTGACTCATAACTAAATCTAAAATGAGTAGTTTTAGTCTTATTTATTCATTTACATCATATTGTGAATGTATTTCTAGTACAGTACCAACTGTTTTTAATCAATATGTATATATTTTTACAGAAAACTAGACGACATATACATCGAAAAATGTTTCCATGGAATTTTCGATTTACTCGACCTAAATCGCAAGAGATTTATGTATTCAATACAGAACGTTATAGTAATTGGTCAGAATGGAAAGAATGTCTACCAATGGAATGCATTGAGATCCGTTATCGTAAATGTTTGGATGATTCTTGGAAGACTTTATCACCAAATCTTATTCATACAACAAGATGTATATCTAAGTATTATGCAGAAAAGCGTATCTGTTTAAATAAAACACAGTGTAATGCATATAGTGAGTGCAATTTAATTTTAATATCATTTTTTCTTTTGACTGAGTATACTACTGAATTGTATGAGTAGCTAACAGTAAGCTCGATTTATAGGTTTCACCTCCTGTAATAGGAAAGGTGTTAATAACTCTTTATGAACCCAATTCCTATTCAAAGCTAACCGTAACAATAACTTTCTAATCCCATAAACTACAAACTTAGGGACTCTGACACAGAAATTTGATAAAAAAAAGGATTCGTTTAATAATTGATGGGTACCTTTAAATAATGAAAAGTACGCAGTTGATGAATAAGACAAACAAAACTTTAATATAAGTGTAAAACTTCGGTACTGTGGTAGAATTTAATTCCATAATAGATTCGTTTATTTGATTTATAACACAGTGGTACAGTATTATTTACTGGATTATGCTTTCAGGATAAATGATCATTGCTCATAATCATATTAATGTAATCACATTCCCTTCTGCATCTAAATTAAATAGTCATGTCACCTGATAATATTATTTTACTGGCAGTAGAATTTTCCATATCTCTGGTATAGGTGTTGTGTGTTGATTGGATGAACAAAGATTCAGTAATCAACGTCTCTCTCCACCTTATTATATGGGACTTCAGCACAGTGGTTTCATCCCACCAAGGCTAATGTGTGATTGTGTGTCGGTGCATGCAATGCATTGCAGTAGCCAAATTCCTTCCTAGATTATTAATTTTATTGGGGTCTGTCATTCTATATTCAGCAAAATTCCTATGTTCCGATATTCTAACTGAATCTGACTGACTAGTTTCATCTATGTACTTGATGTCACAGTCATTACATGGGATTTGATAGATTAAATTATTTCGCTTGACTGGAACTATTAGTTCCTTAAGTCGGTATAGCTTATCTGTGAGCGAGTTTGTAGGTTTAAATGCTACCCTAATTCTCGCCTCGTTGAAGATCCTACTTAAACTTTCTGATGTTCCACTCTTATATGGTAACACGATGGAGGCTTTGAAGTCTGTACTACTCGTGTTGCTATTATTCGTACTCGTGTTACTGTTAATATTTTGCTTCTAGTGTGTTAGTAAGAATTTTTTGATAAAATGTAGAGGATAGTTAAAACCTCGAATAGGTAACTAGTTCACTAGTTACTAGCCGGTCCTAAGCCGGGATAAAGAGAGAAGGTTGGGCATAGAGCTAGCTACCCTACCCCGGAAAACCAACCTAACCGCCAAAGAAACTTCAAAGCACAAACAAAATATAAAAAATAAAATTAAACTTATTCCTCGCTGGAATCGTAGAGACGAAATGAGGCCAGTTGGTGAAAGCCTCCTAGAAGCCGATTGGCAGATGTGTCTTCTCTCTCTCGACGAAAACGGAAGTAAACATGGGGACATGGAATGTTCAAACAATGTTTGGACCTACCAAGGCTGCCCAGATTTCAAAAGAGATGAGAAGGTATAGATAGCGTAGAAGTGGTAGGATCAGCATAATGATCACACTGTAAAAATGGCCAGTAGAATCCGAACAGCGCTTATGACTAGACATCAGGTGGTTGATTACCCTCTAGTGACGAATCAGTTTATCTAATCCAGTCCTACAGGATACCAGTCGCGACCCGAATAGCTAAGTGGTAAAGCCGCTGACTACAACACTGGTTGACTCGGGTTCGCATCTCAGGCGGGACTTCACTTCAATCGGGGTAGCTGATATGCCCTACTGATGAGTGCCAACAGTGATGAAACCTAGGTCCGAGGCTTCCAGATGATTGCCTCCAGCCAACTAACATAACGACGACGATAGTAATACAAATGTTCAGGGGCTTAGCATGTTAAGGTTACATAAGAAAGTCATCCGATAAATAAGCTACTGAGCAAAACATGCAAAACAATATGGTTTAAACTCACTTAGTTGGAGACGGTCAGTAGGAACAAAAGATGATGCAACTAGATAAGAGTGAAGGGATAAACATCTAAGGTTGATAATTACCATTATTATAATTTGTCCTTGGATTCCTAGTGAAAGATAGGGCTTCAAAAGCACGTCACCATTTCACTCTCTTCTATGCAGTCTTTTACACCTGGCTACACCATTGCCCACAAACTTTCATTTCACTCTCACATGATCTCTTCCATGTCACCCTCACCTCAGACACCTAACTCGTTGTTTCCCATTCAGCTCCCAGTCGACAGTTACTTCTTGCTTATTCCTACTATCCTCACCATCTCATCCTTCTTCACTGTCACTATCGACTGAGCGTAGATGACAGTTGTTCATGAATGTCTGTAGCTTGTTGGAAATGCCTTTCATAAGGCGCCAAGTCTCTCAACCATCACATTGAAGCACTGACAGACTTGACTGACATCAGTGTTGAGAATCTGGATGTTGTTCACTCTTTATGTTTAGTGCAGTGCAGTGCAGTGTAGTGCAGTGCGGTGTAGTGCAGTGTTGTGCAGTAGATCTCCACACTGATTATTTCTGATTAATGCAGGAAGTCCCGTCTTGCTGTGTCTCCGATCGTGTCTGGCTTTGACATGTTCATGTGTGCTTGTGCCACCTGTCGTTGAAAGGATGCTGACTGGTTAGGTGAGAGAAACAACTTCGTTTAGATTTCTCCCGTTCACGGTGGCTGATGCTTGTTGTTTGTTGGGTGTAATCATTCAACAGTCGAAAGCGGTTACCAAGCTAGACGGAGGTTGACTACAGCTTCTTTTGAGTATATAACTCAGGTTTAGGGCTTCTGATAGCCATAGACTTGATGAGTGTACTTTACAATACTTTACATGTTTTGTTCAGCAACGTATTTATCGTACTGCTTCGTTACGTAATCATGTCATGCTAAGTCCTTCAACATTTTGATTACTACCCCTATCATCATGTTTATTCGAGAAACTTCTATTGAATTGTGTACAATTGTGACAGTTTGTTACTATTGATTATTCTTCGTTGAATTCGCCGTTACAGTTGACCTATACTGTGATTGCTTGTACGTGTCTTAACGCCTGACCTACATTCTGTTGCCTTTAGTGAAATAAAGTACGTTAAATTTTCAGCAAAGCTACACATTTCGATATTTTTAGCTGTAAGTAATGATAAGACACTGTCGAAACAAAACAGATCCATTTTCTCCTGCTTCTATTGTTGGTCGCCCTTATTCTTCCTAAATTAGTAAGGCGGAATTCGTGCAGGAAGCAACATTAACTGGCATCATGTACATATCACTGATAAGTGTCTTACACACTTCTGACTGTAGGTAGATGGACGGAAGAACACAAAACATTTTGTATTATTGTTTCAATGGATTCAAGTTATCGTTGTGCCTAAAGGTACAGAAGAAAGAAATCAGTTCGAGAATAAAGGCTTTAATAAGATGAAGAAGGGACAAAAGAGAGGAATTAAGTAACCGAAAGCTGATAAATTGTGGATACTTTTGAAGATGATAAATGGTTAAAGTATAAAGATACTCTTCCAGCCATTTTATCGAAAGTTCGGAAGCGCTGAATGACCTCAGATACACCTTTGAAACATTTCCAGGTCTCGGGATAAAAGTCACTGAAATCATGCAATAATGCTATGTTTTAGTTTGACTACTGTTCGACTGTTTCAGAACTAACCCTATTGCGGATGAAATTGCATAGTGTAATGAACTGGAGCTACGTATATGTAACAAATAGGTAACCCACTCCATTCATTGTGAATTCATAACTTCAATCTAATGTATCCTGAAATACAATGCTAAAAAAGTTGACCAACTGGTCTTAAATACAGAGATCCTAATAGCACTACTACTACTAGCTGCCTTATTCTAGAACAAAATGATGCCAATGCAATTGCAAGCTTCATTGAAAATTCATGTATGTAAAAAACGCGAATTCCGTTTATCAGCTCTTAGATGATCTAGGAAAACTTCTGTTGTTTACTTCAGAGGTACTCTCATTTTCTCATATAGTGTCAAAATGATCTGTTAGTCTACAAAGTATTTTGATTGACTGTGAATGCTTTCGGAAACTTTCAGGTTCACTAAGAATTTCAAAAGTACGGCTGAAGTCGTCATTCTATGTGTTCCATTCCCTAAACTCTAAAAACCCGAATAAAGGAGGAAAACTTGCACACTGTGGTAGACTGTAATTCCGTTTTAGTCTGTTTATTGGAAATGTCAAAAGTGAAACAGTATCATTTACTGGTTAACATTTCTGACACAAGTTTGAGATGGCGTTTATATAGTCCTAATTTCCTCTCCTTCTCTGTGATAACAAGGGTAGTAGGATTTTCCAGTATATCTGGGACAGGTTCAGAATCCTTTCCATTACTGCATGTATTTGGTGTTGACTCGATAAACAAAGATAGAGATGTTATTAATAACAACCCTTCTACTAATAGTAATCATGATGAAAACAATGATATGAAGATTTAGACCGAATTGAAAGCCTCTGCTGTATTACCATACAAAGAAGGTACATCAGAAGTATTACGAAGAATTCTCAGTGAGGCTGGCGTGGATCATAGTGGCATTTAAACCAACAAACTCGCTTAGAAACAGGCTTTGTAAGTTGAAAGTTCCTATCGATCCAATTAAGCAAAATAATTTGGTTTACCAAATCTCTTGTAATAATTGCGAGGTCAAATACGTAGGTCGAGGTAGTCGATCAGGGTTGATTAGAATAACAGAGTACAAAAACTTAGCTAAATCAAGACTAGTAGATTCGAACAAAATGAGGAATTTAGAAAATGCTCGACTTTAGCTCTGCATGCAATCACACACAATCATACAGTGGGATGGAATAGAGCGACAGTGTTGTAAACTAACTTAGTTGGTTGGAGGAAGAGACTGATAACTAAATTTTTATTTATCGAATCAACACCAAATACATGTAGTTATAGAAATGATTCTGCACATGTCCCAGATATACGGAAAGTTCTACAACCCTTATCATCATAAAGAAGGAGAGGAAAGACTATATAAACTCTATCACAAAGTTGTGGACAATAAATTGTGTCCAAAACGATGTTATCTAGTGAATGATACTGTTCCTTCACTATGTGACATTTCTAATGAACAGACTAAAATGAAACTCTAAACCTGTCGTCGACAGTGCTCACTCTATAAGTCGACCATACGCAAAGGTACTAATGATCAAAGAACTGTATCTTCCTCATGTTATGGGTTTAAAGACATTCAAAAGAAATGCATATCATTTCAATGGATTTCATGAAGAATTCAGAACTAAACCTTTGAATATCACACTTATAGACATTCTGGATGTGTAAAACAACTGTTCACTGTTAAACTAAATCATTCAAGGTTATTTTCAATGTGAAACTAAAAGTCTATATGGGTTGATTGTCATTAATGATGTTAGTTGTTTGGAGTCAATCGACAGGAAGTCCTGGATCTAGGCTTCCTGCTTTTCAGCACTTGTCAGCAGGGCATATCTGCAACCTCGAAGGAACTGATGTCCCTCCTGAGATTCGAACCCCCGTCACCCAGTGTTATAATCACTGACTTTACCACTGAGCAATTCGAGCTGCTCTGGGTCTCCTATAGAACCGACTTACATATTTTAATGTGCACCGTGAAGCTGAGCTTCTTAGGGTTGCCACATTGCAAATATGATCGATAGGATTCTGTCTGCATTCAGGACTGGACAACATGAGATTGTTTGCACTCCCGTGACCAATCAATACATATTATTGATTATACACGTCCATGGCATGGGTCTGCATCAAGTGAGAATATAGACATATATAGCAGTAAACTAAAATGGAATTGAGTGTAACTTTCCACAGAAAAATGTTTCATCGTCAACATAGATAATAGTTCCAGTGGTTTTTTCTACTGTGTTTTTTTTTTCTTAACAGTTTTACCGAAAAACTCATTTATTTAGGCAACTTGATCAAGCTAACAGTAAAGTCATATTTCATTATTCATGAAACCCAATAAAACAAAATATTACAAAACACTAAATGTGTATTTCAGTTTTGTTCATAATCTAATATGCATTCAGAGTAGATAAGTAATCTGATAGTTTTTTTATTGAGAAAAAACAACAATTGGAATAGACAAAATCTCCATAACCATGTAAATAATCATTGTTTATAAGCATAAATCATTCACAGTTACCGACATACTGAAATTTTTATTTCAGTATACTTTACTCTTCTATTATCTCCAGTGAAATATTTAAATATATTTTGGCCTAAATATTACACTGAACATGACACAATCATATTACAGTACATGTGACTAAGAATTAGCTGGTAGGCTGCCCCATTTCACTGAGAAAAACAGATGAATATACAATTACAATTTAGCAATGAGAATATTAAACATGTTGGAGAATATTTGTAGCTCAGGTGGATGGTCTTGGTTGTATTGTGTTCTCTGGCCTGGGTTGTTTAATCGTGAAGCTTTCATCATCCTTCTAGACAGTGACATCATCAGCACTAACTCTCCGTGAGTGATTTAGTAGCTTGCCTTGATGAAGAGGTCTATGATTGGTTGTTTCCTTTGAATGTTGTGTCACTGATGGCATAGATTTTCCTGTTGGCTGTTCCTCTGCTTCACCTCTCACCTTTCTGTCACTTATCACTTTTCTCATTGGTTGATAGATTGGGTCTATGTCCGTATACTATTGACTGCTGACTGACTAACCTGGATGTCAAGCTTCTAGGAATTCTCTGATATTCTTCGTGTTTCCTCTGTCCAGAACTTCTACATTGTCAAAACTGAATTCATGTCCATAGTTGTTATCCATATGCATTGAAATGAGTGGCGAAATGCCGTGGGGTTTAATAGCCACTCGGTGTTCATGTAGATCAAGGTGAAAAGGTCGACCACTTTGTCCAATGTAGTGTTGACTACAATTATTTTCATATGGAATGATTGGAAGAAGAGCTACATGGTCATACTCCCAAACAAAGGGCAACGTATGTCTTTGCGCGGAATCATGCTTCTGTCCATCCCAAATAAAATATTAGGCCACATAATACAGGAGAGACTATACAATTGCCCGCATTCAAAATTACGGCGACAACAAGCTGGCTGACTGGCTTCAAGCAAAAACAAATTATGTGCAGATCAAAGTCCAGCGCCGCACTACGCATCGTCATAGAACACAGCATAGAATGCCAGTCAACTGGACTTTTGTCTCAGCTTTATCCACTTTAAAAACTCCTTCGATCGAGGCGTCGACCGACAAGTGATTTGGCAGTAGCTGCTTCAACACTATGGTTTCAGTGCCACAAACCCTTAGCAACTTCATTCAACAGAAGCTATATGCTATATAGTGCTACATGCCAAGTGATTCATAACGGAAAGCTCAGTGATGCGTTTAAAGTGAACACAAGAGTCAGGAGTAAGACAAGGTTGCCACTTACTATCACCGATTATCTTCCTGATTGTGGTTGACTCGACTTAACTGGATCACGTATAAAACTGTGAGGATCGAGAAGATAGGATACGCTGTTTGACAGATGAAAAGACCCTAGGAGATTTGGATTCCGCCTATGATGGTTTACATCTAATGTCTTGTCACACAAACTCGAAGATCTACAGGCGAAAACTAACAAGTCAGCAAAAGAGGTAGGGCAGTGAAGACGGGACTTCCTTCAAGTGAACGTAAAGAAGACAGAGGTGATGAAGATACCCAAACAACAACAACAACAATAACAAGCACCACAAACGGGAGAAATCTAAACGAAGTTGTTCCTCTCACCTAACCAGTCAGCATCCTTTCAACGACAGGTGGCACAAGCACACATGAACATGTCAAGGCCAAATAGGATTGGAGACGCAGCAAGACGGGACTTCCTGCATTAATCGAAATAATCAGTGTGGAGATCTACTGCACAACACTGCACTACACCGCACTGCACTACACTGCACTGCACTGCACTAAACATAAAGAGTGAACAACATCCAGATTCTCAACACTGATGTCAGTCAAGTCTGTCAGTGCTTCAATGTGATGGTTGAGAGACTTGGCGCCTTATGAAAGGCATTTCCAACAAGCTACAGACATTCATGAGCAACTATCATCTACTCTCACTCGATAGTGATGCTGAAGAAGGATGAGATGGTGAGGATAGTAGGAATAAGCAAGAAGTAACTGTGGCTGGCAGGCTGGCAGGCTGGCAGTGAACCAACCAACGATTAACCTGTCACCCAACAAATATGCGGAGCAACAAAGTGGAAACGGATTGCATTCGATTTTGCATAGACTAAGAAGACGGTTCGGGAACATCACGTGTCAGGTCAGGTCTTTTGAACTAAGAGGATTCCAAATAAAATGAATATTTATTCGCTGACTAAGTCTGTTAATTGAATTCACGTTGTAAATAAGAATAATTTAGTCCCAAGATAATTATTTAGAAGTTGAAGTTTACCTTAAAACCGTATTCTGAACTATTCAGTATTAAAATTATACAGTTAACTACTCATATAGTGATAATCAGTAGATCCAAGGTTATTTATTGCATCTTATTCAATCTTATGAACGTGGTGTGCCTAAAAGTAACTCAGAACCACTTCATTTGAGACTATTTACTTTCTTATAGTACTGACTTTTGTTGAAATTGGTTGAAAACCTGCAGTGATCGTGTCATTGTCTAATTGGAATGGAATAATTCTTTTATGCTGCTACTTTGGATTCGTAATGTACTCAGCTGTTAGGTAGAAAGAAAAGTAAATTTCTATCTGATTATGAATAGATGCATAAAAAATCCTATCAATGGGGACCGTGTTGACTATTGTTGGCGCCTTCTTTATCTTAGAGGAAAGCGGCCACACGGAGAACATTCACTTTTCAAATAGACCCGGAATTTGCCCTCTGGATATGTTTACTTGTAGTTCATCCATGAGAATAATCGAGGAATTTTGATTTCGAGTATTATCCTAAAGTCGTTTTAGCACCTACCAGTAGAAAACTCTCCCATATTATATTTCTTAACTGTTGGACTTCAACTAAATATCTGAATTATAAAGTTGATTGTCATTTGATTGCCTTTTTTTCAATTGCCTTTACAGCTGGTGATCAAATTCTCAAAAATTTGTCGGATACATGTGGTATACGTCAACATGATAGCGTAATTATGCCAAAAATACTTGGTGGTAAACCAGTTGAACCCCATTCATGGCCATGGGCGGTAAGTACACCTGACAAACTTGACATTTCATTCATTTTTATTGTTTCAAAGTTTTTTTTGCTATCCATTTCAGTTTTGCGTAGAAATCTCTTGAAGTTTGCTTTACTGACAACCTAGAATTCACTTGAACTAGTTTACACAGCTAGATACAAAAATGATTCGTTTCTGTGATTTGATTTTGAACAAGACATCATTAATGCTGTTCATTCCAAGCAAATACAATAGTTATCAGGTATTGAGTTTACTTTGATCAGACAGAATAAAGTATATATGAAAAGAACAAGAATAAATGTTGGTTATCCGTTTTGCTATTTCATTGGTTCTCTTCAGCTGCATGCAATCTAAAATATTCAAAACATTGTATTACATTGAAGTGCTAACCTGCATTATTTCACTGAGATCATTTAGAAAAACAGGATAGTTACATAGCGAAGTAAGCGAACTGTACAAACTGAATCCATTCCATGTTGTTGGGATGAATATTCTTTTTAACATGGGATAGCGAAACGAAGAATGAATGGGTAATTTTATAATAAGTTATCATTAATTGCAATCTTATCCACTTGTCGATTCATATAATGTCTTTATAAAGGTTGTACAACGTCTCTTTCTTCTTCATTTCGTACAGTTCTCTCATTTCAATATGCCATTGTACCGTTTTGATTGATCTCAATGAAATAATGTGGGATAATATTCTATTGAAATTCGGTGTTTTGGATATTTTACGTAGCTTGCGGCTGAAGAAAACTAGTGAAATAATAGAACGGATCCATGTATTGTTTCTTCCCGGTGTTTGTTTACGATCTTTTCAAGTCGATATAAGGAAATAGACGAATGGCAACCCCATATCCTTCACTGGTATTATGTATTCATTACGAAAAATCCGAATAAAGTACATTAACGAAGTAGGAATTATCATCATAATAAATACGAGATTTACCTTGATAGACTATGTTACAATGGTAGTTTAGGATTTAGCAGATAGCTTAATGCTCAAAATATACTCAAAAGAAACGTCAAATTAAGTTGAACCCTTTCACTAGAACAAAATAGAAATAAAGATTCATGTTATACTATAAATTCAAAGGTACTATCAAATCTGCTGCTCATGTTAAAATTGCTCAGAGTTGAGTAGTTTTTCAATTGCTCAATTATACTATCAACAGAGTTTCTTATTTTACAGATTAGCGTCAGTGGTTCACTAGTATATTCCACTGGTTTATGAAATTTTTGTGTCAGAGGTCACACTTTATTATCTTGGCAGAAACCTTGTTAAGAAGTTGAAAAACTACTCATCCGTGAAAAATTTCATTGCAGACTATGTAATTTGCCAATCATTTTCAAAGTGGTCTTTTTATTTAAGAAATACTGATCTATCCAAGTCAGCTAGCCAATCGGATTCCAATGATCTGAATGGTTTCACTGAGTGAACTAAATTTGTCTCAGCACACCAGTGATGAATCCGACCGCAAAAGAGCGTAACGGTCATCCAGTAAATAGATCACTCCGATATGGTTGGCGAAATCTACAGAGTAGACTACGTGTTGTTACATAGTACACAAGAAATTAGTCAGATCAATGAAATAGTCGCCCCTGGGGGAGTTCATATAATTAGTGTATGATAAGCAAAGTTTCCAACATAAAATAAACAATAAATGAATGATATAAGTAAGCGTACAGATCAAAGTAACAGCTCATAAGCCAGAACAATGAATCCGAAAGCGAAAACTGGGTGTTATCTGCACTTCATTACCTTCATAAATTTGCACAGAGCAGGAAGGAATTGGATATCCTTTCATCTCACAGTTATTTATCAGCTGTATGCAGCCCAAAGTAAATTTGTTTATTGGAACAATACTAAGTAGAACAGCATAGTCTAACAATAATATCTTAGCTTTTAGCATATGAGGTAAGGCAAAATTAAGGAAAAACTAAAGTATCTAGAAAGCAAAAATTATAATACTAGGTGATGATTGAAGATGAAATGAAAATCTGGTTTGCAGCAGGATCTGAGTCAGCAATCTCCGGGTTACATGTTCGCTGCCCTACCATCTAAGCTATAAGACCCGGCTCATAATTAGATATTGATTTTACTTTAGTCACTAAACGTTTTTCCCAACTGCCACATAGGTTTGATATGCGCAACTGTCCGTTCATCGTATTTCCACTGTCTCCCCAGCCAGGACCTTAAATTATGATCCAGTATCAATAATTCACGTCTAATAAACTACGGTTATCTTAGAAGTTGTATATCAAAATCATTACCAGTTTATTTGATATAATATGTAAAGTCTCAGAATTGCAAGAGGTTGAATAGTAGTAATATTATTAACAATGATAATAATCACATTATCTCAACCATTTTTGGTACAATTATCGATTTTTAGCATGTCAAACTGAAACAAAAATAGATAAACTTCTTTACAACATTTCGAACAGTGTAAATATAACAATTAAAATAGTGTCAAGAATGCCAATAACCAGGAAAATTTATTATTGTAACTAAAAAATATCGGGAAGACTGATTATTTACTGTTAAAAAGTTGATAAGCGAGTGTTGCGGTAACACTTTTCCCTCATATAATATGCGAGTTAGGCCTAGTCGAATTCTTGCACTTAGCTGTAGGACCGTACACATTTATGCAATTTCTATTTATTATATCTGAGGAGATACAGGCACAGAGCTGTCAATAACGGTGTACACTGCTGAGGAGTCCCATATCAGTGGGATGAAACAGCTGCCAAGTGACCCCACATCTCTAGTGTTTATACAACTTATGTCAGTCCATCAACAATGCCAACTGGAGATCAATAAATCTCTACTAAACACAAAATTGCATTATGACTCTGCTAAATATCACACACCATCATACTACTCCATTTTTATTCAGCACTTTTCTTTACAAATATGCCTTACACTACACTAGGGAAAACAGGGGTCTTCTCAACTTTAACAGTAGGAAAATAGGTAGGAGGTGGTGATCGCTAGCTGACATCACTCAACAATAACTTGTAAAATCCCCCAAACACCACTCAGTCAACGTAAATCTCTGCTCAATACTTCAATCAATATCTTTCTTCGACTACAACTTAACAATAAGTTTCACAATGAATTAATGAAATCAGACAAAATGAATGATGTTAACAATAATATGCCTAGTCGGTTTGAAGTAGAAATGAAACTAGTGTATACAAGATCCACAAGTATTCACTGTAATAGTTCAACGTGTTTGATCCGTTTAGCTCAAAGAGTAATGTATTGAATTTATGGCTGAGTGAATACACTGAATGAAATATTGCTCTGAGATATGCGAAGAAGTCTTACTGTAAAAATATTCATAATTTGATGGGTAGTGAGTAGCAGTTGAATGAAGGATGAAGGGTTCGTTGTACTTGCGACTCGTGATATGATTGCACCTGCTGTCCACTGAGTAGTGTTGTTCCCACACGAATTCTAAGGTAAGATCAACCACTTCAAACGGTAAAGCGTTATTCTCTAGGCCACTGTGTCACGTTGGCTAGTTTTTATGCGACAGGTATAGTATGGTAAGTCAACGACAGAAACTTGATAATGATGATGATGATTATAATTCAGTTGATTCGTGACAATTTGTGGTACAGTTAGGAATTCTCGGCATGATATATCGCAGCTGCAAATATATATATATATATATATATATATATATATATATATATATATATATATATATATATATATATATGTATACTAGGTGGTGGGTAAGATGAAGTCGAATTCTTCAAGTTTGCTGTACGAGCGTACAGTCTCATGTAGTTTCTTCTTGTCCCACCTGAGGGAGGGAGATACATGGAGAGAGCTGTGAATGAAGTAGATGCTCACTGTCACTTAAAATGACTGTAGCCAGTTGCTTGCTGGAATTTAAACATCTATCAACCACAGTGTTAATCAGTTAGGCCAGAGACACAGCACACCCTACTCACGGCTTTCAAAGTCCTACGCAATATAGCATAGTCCATTTCTAGTAAATCAAGAAAGATAAGGAGGGACAATAGATGAGAACAGGTAAAATGCAGGAATTAATGAATCGTCAAATTAGAGACTGAGTTACACCAGAGAGCCTCAGTTTCTTTATGTAATAAGTTAAGCGAGAGATTTCTTTACAAGTCAACAAGATATGAGACGGTCAACAAAGGATCGGAAGTAAAACTGAGTCGAAAATAGTTAGCACTCAGTTTATTTTCTAAGGCAGTGCAAGAAACAAAACAACTTATTCTAGGTGACAGGCTAAATTGCACACAAATGAGTGATATTTATTAGATCGAGATCAACGTAATAATGTGGAAACACTAGTCGAGTAAACTGAAGAATTCTATGTTTAATGTACGTAATTATAGGGGCTTTATGTAGTTGATGAATATTCAGAGTATGACATAAAACAGAGTTATTTTACTTCGTATATGTAGTTCGTCTTGCTTTACCTGTGAAAAATCTTTTGAGGTCGTCAGAAGTTAATAACATGATTCAACGTACAAACAGATAAAATAGCCTATGTGACAATAGTACTACTGATTTGTAAGTAGTAGTATAAATGTAAACCACAAAACATCGTTCTAGTTGCAAGGTGCACAGGATTCATTAACATTTCAGTCGTAGCCACCAATGCATTTTCAGATTGCCATAGAGATAATGGTGACCTGTTAGCACCCAATCACTGAGATTAACTAAATTAACCTAAAGAAGATGCCTCGAAACTCTGGTCTTAGATTTAACAGTCATGTACCTGGGTTCTATTTATGATAAAGATGGATAGTGGCTAGCAGTGGAATCCCCGATCCGCATTTCGTCCTATTTGGGACTAGTCAGCTGGACGTATCTGCTCTCCAGTGAGTTATGTTTTTCCCACCAGGTCATATACCTCTTAAATATATATAGGACTTGTGCATTGTGATAGAATGTAACTCCATATGATGTTTGTTTACTTGATATAGGGCATAGTGTTAAGGTATTATTTATCGAGTAGACAATACTATCACTATGCACTATACCAAATAAACAGTCTAACGTGGAATGTACCTTTTATTTATTGATAGGTATAACTTCCTGTTGGTTATTACATTGAAATAGATTGACTACCCTCAAGATTCATCCTAATTTACTTTCCAACGGGGACCAGTAAATTTGATTTAATTTGTTGGTCAGTCGGCCATCACTGGTGTCATTAAATAACAGATGATGCCTATCGCACAGTGGGTGGTTGTCCGGATTCACTAGCTTACCAGATAATACTCTGAGAGCTAGTTTCAAGGTTCAGTAGGGAGAGCAGCCCTCACTATGATACCGAAACATTTAGCTGATGAGTCCTAAATAAGACTAATTATGCGTTCTAGATTCCACTGCTAGTCACTGACATACGACTATTAGTTTTCGCATCCGAAATTAAACTCTTTCGTAAATGATTGAAAATGAAAGGACCCCTATGAGCCTTTAATTTAGTTTTCTGATTTCTCAACAATTGGAACTTCTAACCACATTGAATTAATAAATGCTCAACCACTTAGTTAGCAGAGGATTGTCTATCTTTTCACCTCTGGCCAAGTCAGTGTTAAATTTTCATTGTAATTGTCGACGTCAATGATTGGTGCAAATTGAAGATTTTGTAACTTTTGTTGAATATTTCAACTCGAACTTTTCATCAGTGGACACTCACAGACTTTTTCAAGGTTCAATCCTGAGTCATAGATGTCAATAGTTCAGCAAATGATGTCATTTTGGAGATAAAAATTAGTATCATACTACATATTACTCTATAGAATGAGTAGTTGATAGCAAGTCTTCTTCTCTACATAGAAATTTTATTGACCTGTAAACTACTTAAAATCTTATGAGTAGTACACAATGAATAAATTATTTATTACTGAGTCTTTTAGTTGATAAGTGTCTCAGATTCTAGGCAGTGTAATCATCAGACGCCTGAGTGGAGCTCAAGAACACCAAGCCCGAGGGCATCATACAGGCTTCAGACCTGGTCGTGGGCGCATCGACCAAATATTCAGACTCCACCAGGTTCTGGAACGCAGGTACGCTCACCAACGCCTTATTTCTCGACCTGAAGGTGGCATTTGACTCCTTCGATAGAGAAGTCTTAAAACAGTGTCTCTCATTGAATGGGGTGCTGAGTAAGAACATCATCCTATTGAAGGCTGTGTAATCGAATACTTGTGGGGGTGTTGGAGATATCGAGTGGGCTGAGTACGCCAAGTGGTGTCCGTCAAGGATACCCACTCTCTCCATTCTTATTCAATTTTATCACGGGCTTTCTTATGGAGGTCTTGCTCTCAACATCTGACTACGCAGGAACTGAACTAATCACAGGAAAATTTTCATTAGACCTAGAATACGTAAATGACATATTCCTGCTATATGAAGATGCTGACAAGATACAGAGTCTTCTGGATACATTGAGTAGCAGTTTGCGAATGTTTGGGATGCGTTTCTTGCCACTCAAATAAGAATTGTTGCTTCAGAACTGGTCTTCAACGGTACCCTAACTAACAGTGGTGAGTAAAGTGGTTGAGTGCTTTGAACACTTTAATTACCTGGGAAGTTGGATCATCCCTGTTAGGTCAGTGGATGACGAGATCTCTACACGGATACAAAAGACTTGGTTTACTTTTGTGAACACATACCATCTGTGGCGCCGCCGCTATATTCGACTGTCTATTAAGGGTTGAGTGTACCGTGCTACTGTTTGCTCTGTTCTCCTGTAAGGTTGTGAAATGTCAGCATTAACAGTAGAGGACATGAGAAGGCTTCAGGTGACTGACCGCCACTTCCTTCATGTCATATGCCTTTTCTCGTAGTGTCACCACGTGAGTAACGCAGAAGTCAGACGTAGAGTTTTAGTCAGGAGAGATAAAACAGTTGATGCGACTGTGAACCTTAATCGACTGAGAGCGCTGGGATATGTGTTACGTATGACTAACCACCGTCAGCCTTTTCGCACAATGTTGGCCAAAGTAGGTTCAGGCTGTAAAAAAGACTGGTAGTGACCAGACTAAAACACTGTATCACTGCGTGAAATCCTTGAATGTTGGTTTGAGCTAAATGAAGCGATGCAGACTAGCTGGTTGGGGTCTGAGTCACAACAGAAACCTATGACCGACTTTTCTTTCCTTCTTCATATTCCATTTTATTCCCTTGTTACTTGATGTGCTGATAAAAGGTGAGGCAACTTCGATCGTTAAGCAGTAATGCCTGGTCCTATGTTGGTCTTCATTATGGTGGTGACGACAAAACTCTAAGCCTACCTCATAAGTCAATTATGATTTCTGCATCATAAAAAGCATCAATATTTCTCCTTAGGAAGTTGAAGTATACTGTATAGTTCCAGATTGGGTGATTAAATTTTGTTAACACACTGATATTATTAAAAACTCACTTGACCATCTATTAATACAGCTTGTTAGATCAACTGAAGTATTGAGAGATGTTGAGCAATACATTACCTTGATCTGTCAATAGGCAGTTGATTCCTCCCTTCTGAGAATTCCTAGACACAAAACGATACAACTGTTTACTATCAGCTGGCTTTCTGTTTTATTCTGACTGATGTCACTTTGTTGCGGAGCGCTTCTTAAAAATAATCATCCTGCAAACCTCCTGAATACATGGCACAATAACTCCTTCTACATAGATTTCCCGAAGACTTAACAGAAACCTGTCCCCTATACAGTCTACTAGTCTAATATGAGGACGGTTTCCTAACAACTACTTGTGAAGATGATCAGACTAAGAAAAGTTCAAATCAGACATCATTTGGACGGAAAATTGTTGTATCTGACCACAAATCACTGACCTAATTTTAACATTACGATTACTTAGTTAAGTTTTGTAGTGTGGTCTTTTGGGTGGCAACGGACTCAATAAGTCCGAATATTCATCCATAAATTCAAACATCACTTTATGTATTAGAAAGCGATTTGTGCGCATACTAAACCCAATCTGGTAGTATCGATTTCAACCCTTATTACTACTGTTATTTGTTGACATGCTAATAATTTTCCATTCTTCTACTGAACCGAATTATTCAACCTCTATTGGTTTATGAGTTGCAGTGTGGATCCCTTGACATAGCCTGAATATTTATTATGATTTCGCCTCAGTTACCGAGCATTTCTTCTAACTGTCATGTGAGTTTCTTATGCGCTACTGTCCGTTCATCATACTGTCAGTCTGCCAGGACGTTCAATCATTATCCAGTATCAGTGATAAAAATCTGTCAAACTACGGTTATGGCATTCGAAGTGATAAGTACGAGGTTCAAGTCTTAGTGGGAACAACATCATTCGCTAGGATGCAGGTACATCCAGCTGACGAGTCCCATATATGAAGAAACGCATGTCCTGGATTCCTTTGCTAGCTACAATTCAGTAAATTTTCGACCAGACTTTTTACGTGATCACTCTGCCCTAATTATGTTTCTTATTCATAATTCCATACAACTGTAATTGACAAACTCAATTATGACCAGATTGTTCGAAATGAATAGCGCTAATGTATCATATTTAGCAAATCAGCTTCATCTTCGCATGATGGCGTTCAACTTTATCAAGGGGACTAACTGTTTCAAAATGCATCGATTTGAATATTGAGGAGAAAGTTATTTGTGTACTATGTAGAAAGTGTGTATTTGACACAAGACTGTAGTCATAATGTATCTTGGCCTTAATCCAGTTACGGAACGGTGATTCATGTTATCCAAGAAAAATCCTTGGATTTTATATCAGTTTCAATAGAATCTGATATCTTACTTTTTTACAGTTGTCTAGTTTATATTTCGGTAGCTTTATCTTTTCTTACATGTTTGGTAGTCGACAGTGTTTGTATTTAGCGCTTTGTCATCGAGATTCTTGTCACTATAATAACTGCATATGTGAAAAAACTTTGTTTTACGCGGTTAACTTTCATTTTACATGGAGATTCAGAAGTCTCGATTCCGCCAGATGCTTGTATAAAGCCGATTCAACATTCATTAATTGAACAATGATTGCGAAAGTCTAATTACATGCCCTTCAATTATAGTCCAAACTAAGCATAATTCCCCTCTGGATTTTTTTTATACTAAAGGTTCGTTTATCTGTGAAATTACCTCGTCGAAGATCAGTCACCTTCTGTGGTGGAACACTGATTGCTCCTCAGTGGATTCTTACAGCAGCACATTGTGTCCTTGTTGAAAATAAGCATATACCAGTTGGAAAACCTGTTCTACTAGCAGATCATATGAAAAGTACAATCTATGCTCATTTAGGTGATCATGATCGGGTGAAACAAGAAGATGCACAAGTTGATTATCGTGTCACTGTTGCTATACTTCATTCAAATTATCATAGAAAATTACAAACAGATGGATATGATATAGCATTGTTACGTATTTCAGAACCTGTTAAAACAAGTAGGTTTAATTGAATTTTATTTCTATAGATTTTAAAGTGAATGTGTATTGTTTTATTTAAATGTGTTCAATATTAAATGTAACGCATAATTTCAAACACTTTATCAACAATTGGAATGTTCACAAATACCTTGATGATTCTAGGATAAAATTCTATCCTCGAATTTTACTCTTACTCTCCACAAACAAAATAGTATAAGAATAAAAGCTGTATAAGTAGTGAGATATCAGTAGAAACAGCCTACAAACCAATACATTCATTTTTGTTACAATAATTCTTATGTTCATGAGTCCAAAACTTTGATTTCTAATGTAGAGTTGCTACAGGCCGTATGATGGAAGTCATAAGTCAATCAACACAGAACCTGTGATTAAAACTGTCTGCTTTTCGGAACTAATTAGCAAAGTGGGTCTGTAGTTGGGAAAGTTATAGATTGGAAATAAAATCACTCAGTGTTAAGGTGACAGATATCATCGCATAAGTGACTGTACTTTTCTGATTTTCACCAGAAGCATTATTCGTCATTGACTGCCAAAATAACTACCACATTTCTTCCATAACTTCTTAATAATCTTATAAACGCTGAAATTTCAACTTCTTTTCAGCTTAAAAATCCACTTAGTTTTCAATCTTTCTACATTACCAACTATTATTATCATTTCATGCCAGTTTTCTTTTCTATTTTTTTAGAGCCTGAAATTGATTTTGCATGCTTACCACCAAAAGATTTGACCTTGAAACCAAACTCCAAATGTTATGCAGTTGGATGGGGTAGTAATAAAGGTGCTAAAGTTCCAACATTTGATAATTTACACAGTATCCTTCAATCATTATTTGTACCATTTCCAAGTTTATTTAGTTCACCGTTTACATTTGGCAGAAACTCAAATTTATGGCATTTAAAAGGACTTGAAGCAGAAGAATCGTCTAAAGAATTACATGAAGTTGAATTGCCAATAGTCCCAATAGAAGAATGTCGTAGACATTATGCAGATATCAGTTCAAAAGTTCATATTTGTGCAGGTGCTAGAAATAAGGTAAGCAATTTCCATTTTACCTTTAATTTTTATACTTAAAGTGAGCATAAAAACCAAAGTTTTATTTACTTGAAATATGCTTTATAGAGATTTGGCGTTTCATTAACTTATAGTCCAAAAAATTGTCAAGGTTTGAAGAAAATTTTGAGGTTAAATCGAAATCTATGTCATAACCTACTGGTTTTTAGGGAAAAGCTGTAGTGTTTGAATAAGAAAGTGTTTAGTTTGTTTTCTACTATGAAGATCATCACTTTAAGATGGACTTAACAAGATCTATGTACAACTAAACGCATTAAGATAAGCGTGTTACTATTATTATTATTATTATTATTACTCCCTTGGGTTCCTAGTGGAACATAGGGCTTCAGTAGCACGCCTCCAGTGAACTCTGTTCTCTGAGATCTTTTGAACCTGGTTCCACGACAGCCCACAACCTCTCATTTCCTCCTCGCACGACCTTCTCCATGTCACCCTCGGACGTCCAACTCGTCGCTTCCCATGGGGATTCCACTCGAGCAACTGGCCTGACGCGTGATGTCCTCAGTCGGCCTTCTCAGTGCATGGCCAATCCATCTCCACTTCCTCCTGCATATTTGTTGGGTGATAGCTTCTTGGTTGGTTCTTTCCCAGAGCTCCTTGTTGCTGATTCTTTCTGGCAATCCATCTGATCTTCAGTAGCGAGCCAACGTAAGCAGTTGTTGATGAATGTCTGTAGTTTGTTGGAAACCCCTTTCGTGACGCGCCAAGTCTCTGAGGCATACAGAAGCACTGACTTGACGTTGGTGTTGAAAATCCGTATCTTGTTCCGCATGCTGAGTGCAGAAGATCTCCACACTGGTTTCAGGCTAATGAACGCCTGTCTTGCTTTTCCGATTCTGACTTTGACGTCCTCGTCCGTCCCGCCTGTAGTTGAAACAGTGCTTCCTAGATAAGTGAAGGAGGTTACTTCCTTCAAGTTTCTCCCGTTGACGGTGATTGGAGTTTGTTGTTGTTGTTGTTGGTGGTGGTGGTGCGGTATCTTCATCACTTCTGTCTTCTCTATATTCACCTGAAGTCCCGTCTTAGCTGCCTCTTCTATCAACTTGTTAGTTTTTGCCTGCAGATCTTCAAGTTTATGTGACATTAGGCATAAGTCATCGGCGAAATCCAAGTCTTCTAGGTTCTTTTCCGTCGTCCAGCGTATTCCCCTCTTCTCGCTGCCTACTGTTTGCTGCATGATCCAGTCGAGTCGACCACAATAAGGAATATCATGGGCGATAGTAGGCAACCTTGTTAGCGTGTTACTAGCTTTTGTTAATTTGTACAACTGCTGAAAATCAAAGCTGACCAGACAGTTGATTCATCACTTTTGAGAAAACCATAATGTTTAATTTCCCTTGTGTACTAGAAGTGAGGGATATAACTAATACAAAGATCGTAGAAGATGGGTGATCACTTCTCTAGCCTCCAACTAAAGACATAATTTACAAAGTAGTATAAAAGTGACAGGAATGACACTGCTTTCATCATCTGTCTGCATGTCTATTCAGCACATCCTTGATTTGTAATGGATCCTGGAGCATATAAACATTGATGACTTAGAATCAAAGTTTTACAACACTCTATGATATATCATTCTTGTTTATGAATTTAATGATTAGCAATGAATGTCCACTCTTGTTTTTTGTTTAGTTGAAGCAACCCAATAACATGAAGACAAAGAATGAGAATTTCAATGCAAGAAATTCACAATTCATAACGATATGACGGTATTTTGATAAGAAGGCTAGATTCCGTGTATATCGACGCAATCTAATTGATGAAACTGTAATCTGAATGCAAAGACTTACAATATTAGCCAAATATTCATAGGAATATTTCAATGACTATAGGTTAAATGCGAATATCTTTATATTTTGTCCTGATACAAAACATTCTTCGAAATTGACATGATAGTAAGTAGTAGTAGAATCTAAGGTACACGTTTTGCCCATTTCCAACTCATTAGCTGAATATACCTTGACCCCAGTGTGTGGTGGCGTAGTTATCGAGGCTTAAACCCAGGAACTATCCCTATAAATGCTAAAGAGCTATCCACTAGGCCAATCAAGCACAATGGCTACCTCTTGTGAAAAGGGCATTAGTTATCATTATTTGTTGATATGCTTGTAATTCCTCAAGTCAATTATAACAATCGAAATTCAGGCAGTATAGAGGCATGTACATAGTAACCCATATGCCAACAGAAGTCAATCAGTTTGACCAACCATAACACCGGGGTACTATAAGTATAGAAAAGCTCATTCATGTAGATTTTGTGAATGCTAGCAATGATATATCGTAACTGTAGAATACATAAGAAAAGAAATACGGAAATGAAGTTCAGTTAATAGTATAGTGATTCATGTAGCTGAACACCTGATACAGATCTATTTGCTTGCATATATATATACGAATGATGGAGTTGAGTAGTCTGAACTGGATTGTTTAATCGTGAAACTTTTGTTGTCATTCTATCTAGACAACATCATTAGTACAAACTTTAGAAAAAAGTGAGCAATAAGGTTTTCTCCACTATTTATTTAATAGCTTTTTCTGCTGATCTTGTTTGTGATTGGTTGCTTCTACCAAGGTCTTATCATTATCTCCATGTTTATTTTGATTGGTTGTCGTAATGACCTGAAGTTTGACCTTCGTTTTGTTTCTTATTGGTTGGTAGTTTGATACACCGTTTATAAAATGAAACAGTTACTCATGTGCAGAGACGTGAATAAAATAAAACTGTGACATATTCACCTTTACACATCAAGTATTTATTGAAAGTATTATGAAAATTAGTGAACAGTCAATCAGTTCTCATCAGCAAATGGAAAGTTTCAGTTTTATATGCTTCAACAGTGTCAAAGATGAGACACATCTTGTCATCTCTAAAGTTATGTCACCTCTCATGGCATTGTAAAGTCAGTCCACCTCTTAGAACTAATGATAACCATGCTTCTGTAAGAGCCATTTACTCACAGGCGTATTAAACTTTTTCATTATGATATGATGTTGATCGATACCTGTACTGTTACTGTTTACAAGCAGTGGAAGTATTTGGAATAAGTTTAAAGGTAGTAACTATTTTATATAAAGATATAGTACAGTGCAAACATGTGTTGAAATGGCCTCTGTTTACCATCGGAATATTTACATTATAAACGAACGGTCTATTCTTGCTAACACTGATCAATCCAAGTTTTATTAATTACTACCAATCCCCATCATCAACCAGCATGCTTAATGATTCTAAATAACATATTCAATAGTCAAGAATATTCTTAAGCTTTCAGAACCTGCATTCTCTGGTGGAAATAATACGTCATGATCGCATCTGTTCATTTGTAGTTACTTGCCTTTTTGACATTACACAATAACTAGGTCTTAGCATACCCATAAATCTGTACGAGACACCAATTTATTTTTACTTGTAAATTAAATTATCGCTGATCATTTGAGATCAACTCAACTACATTTAACGTTTTAAGTGCGGTTAGTGCTCTTTTATCACGTGGTAATATAATTCCGGTGCTAAAAACTGAAGTAGTATGGTATATACTATCATAAATTAGGATATATTCAATGCGAAATAAGTCGGTAACCATATGTAAGTTAATAAACAATTGATACTGAGTGATGTTTGTAAGCGAAATGAGAATATGAGCAACAGTAGGGTTTGAACTAGTAACCCAGAGGTTTTTTCACCTTTAATCATTATTATTACCTATTATTATTTGTCCCTTGGGTTCCTATTGGAACATACGGATTCAGTACCACGTCTTCATTTCACGCTCTTCTCTGAAATCTTTTAAACCTTGCTCCTCGATATCTCAAAAGCTCTCATTTCTTCCTCATACAATCTCCTCCATGTAACCCTCGCCTCGGACGCCTACATCGTTGTTTCCTTTTTGAGTTCAACTCGACAACCTGACCTGGTGCGTGATGTCCCTAAACCATCTTCCATTTAATCATTACCCAGTATCAATACAAGTCGGTCAAACCACGGCAGATTGTCAAACTGAAAATTATTAATTTATTCTATGAGTCATAAGCATAAGGTGCACACTGCTGAGGAGTCCCATATCAGTGGGATGAAACAGCTGCCAAGTGACCCCACATCTCTAATGTTTATACAACTTATGTCAGTCCATCAACAATGCCAACTGGAGATCAATAAATCTCTACTAAACACAAAATTGCATTATGACTCTGCTAAATATCACACACCATCATACTACTCCATTTTTATTCAGCACTTTTCTTTACAAATATGCCTTACACTACACTAGGGAAAACAGGGGTCTTCTCAACTTTAACAGTAGGAAAATAGGTAGGAGGTGGTGATCGCTAGCTGACATCACTCAACAATAACTTGTAAAATCCCCCAAACACCACTCAGTCAACGTAAATCTCTGCTCAATACTTCAATCAATATCTTTCTTCGACTACAACTTAACAATAAGTTTCACAATGAATTAATGAAATCAGACAAAATGAATGATGTTAACAATAATATGCCTAGTCGGTTTGAAGTAGAAATGAAACTAGTGTATACAAGATCCACAAGTATTCACTGTAATAGTTCAACGTGTTTGATCCGTTTAGCTCAAAGAGTAATGTATTGAATTTATGGCTGAGTGAATACACTGAATGAAATATTGCTCTGAGATATGCGAAGAAGTCTTACTGTAAAAATATTCATAATTTGATGGGTAGTGAGTAGCAGTTGAATGAAGGATGAAGGGTTCGTTGTACTTGCGACTCGTGATATGATTGCACCTGCTGTCCACTGAGTAGTGTTGTTCCCACACGAATTCTAAGGTAAGATCAACCACTTCAAACGGTAAAGCGTTATTCTCTAGGCCACTGTGTCACGTTGGCTAGTTTTATGCGACAGGTATAGTATGGTAAGTCAACGACAGAAACTTGATAATGATGATGATGTTGATGATGATGATGATGATGATGATGATGATGATGATGATGATGATGATGATGATGATGATGATGATGATGATGATGATGATGATGATTATAATTCAGTTGATTCGTAACAATTTGTGGTACAGTTTGGAACTCTCGGCATGATATATCACAGCTGCAAATATATATATGTATACCAGGTGGTGGGTAAGGTGAAGTCGAATTCTTCAAGTTTGCTGTACGAGCGTACAGTCTCATGTAGTTTCTTCTTGTCCCACCTGAGGGAGGGAGATACATGGAGAGAGCTGTGAATGAAGTAGATGCTCACTGTCACTTAAAATGACTGTAGCCAGTTGCTTGCTGGAATTTAAACATCTATCAACCACAGTGTTAATCAGTTAGGCCAGAGACACAGCACACCCTACTCACGGCTTTCAAACTCCTACGCAATATAGCATAGTCCATTTCTAGTAAATCAAGAAAGATAAGGAGGGACAATAGATGAGAACAGGTAAAATGCAGGAATTAATGAATCGTCAAATTAGAGACTGAGTTACACCAGAGAGCCTCAGTTTCTTTATGTAATAAGTTAAGCGAGAGATTTCTTTACAAGTCAACAAGATATGAGACGGTCAACAAAGGATCGGAAGTAAAACTCAGTCCCAAATAGTTAAAACTCGATTTACTTTCTACAGATATATCATCAATGCTGAGACAGGCGTCATGAAATTTAAGCAGTTCACACGAGTCTTGTTCACATCTGAAGCTAAAATTAACAGTCTGACATTTAGAAGTGTTTAACTTGAGACCATTGGTCAATAAGAGACAAGAATCCATTTAATTTAGAGACATCTAAGTGAGAGTTAACTGGAATAGAAGCCGTCAGACCATCAGCATACTCAATAGAATTATTTTCAAGAGAATATGGTAAATCATGTGAAAAGATCGAAACCGAAAAGAAGAGAGTACACCAGCTTGAGGCACACCAGCTTCAATAAGCAATGAAGTCGAGCGCTTCCCTTCATAGACAGTATACTGTTTCCTCTCAGAAAAATAGGAATACAGCCACACAGTCAAAGTCTGATGAGTAATCGAAAAAGGTAAAACGAACATACTCATCTAAAGACATAAACATTCATAATCCGAGTTTGCAAAATTCATCCATTACAAACGCATGTAAGGGAAACGTTTAATCGTCCAAAGAAAGTGCACAATAGATATGCCCAAAATGAATATGTGCAAGATAAATGAATAAGCAATAGATTACAAGATATGGATAAGTGTGGTGAAATGCATGTGGTATAAAAAGTAGATGTATGGGGAAAATAAGGTGAAATAACCCTGGAAACCCAGACTCATACTATTCATAATGTAATAGACCTTCTAACGCCTTAAGTAATTCACTAATAACCAGTGTGCAAACGTTTTCTCCGTTCTAAGTTAAACATTGGTTGACTACATACAACAATCACAGAAATGATCAGTTTTGTAAACTCCTCACTGTACCGTTAATTTGAAGTTTCTTGAGGCAATTCTTTCATTTTTCAGTTTTTGTCTTCCTCATTTAGTTGTAATTCTGTGATTGAATAACGTGAATGGTCATTTATTTTTGTTCTGCGTCGAAGTATTCATAACTGTGTAGTGGAGGTTCATGTCATTTATGAACTCTTAACATTCCGTGGAAAGTGACAAACTTGTATCCTTGCACCCCGTCATATCATTATCATTTCTGTTTACCTAATGAATTCCTAGTGGAATATAGGGCTTCAGTAACACATCTCCATTACACCCCCTCCTCTCCAGTCTTTTGCACCTGCCACCATAACTACCCACAACCCTTCATTTCGTCCTCACACTTTCTCATCCATATCACCCTCACCTCACACGCCCAACTCATCGTTCCCCCTTCAGCTTCCACTCGAGTATCTCACCTGCTGCGCAATGTCTCCAGTCGGCCTTCTCGGTGTATGTCCAATCCATCTACACTTTCCCCCATATATTTATTGGGAGAGAGGTTCTCGATTGTTTCGTCGCCACAGTGAGTTCCTTGTTGCTTATTCTTTCTAGCCATCTGCTCACCATCTCCAGTATGGAGTGAGCGTAAGCGGCAGTTGTTGATGAATGTCTGTAGTTTGTTGGAAATGCCTCTCTTGACATGCCAAGTCTCTCAACCATCACATAGAAGCACTGACTTACTTGACTGGATTGGTGTTGAAAATTTGGATGTCGTTCACGCTTTTTGCTGAGTGCAGAAGATCTCCACACTGGTTTCAGGTTAATGTAAGCCTGTCTTGCTTTTCCATCCCAGCTCTGACGTCCTCTTCAGTGCTAACACCTGTAGTTGAAACGATGCTGCCTGCCTAGTTAGGTAGGTGAGAGAGAGACAACTTCCTTTTGAATTCCAACTTTGGTGATGATTGGTGTTTGTTGTTGATGGTGTTGGTTGGTTCGGTATCTTCATCACCTCCGTGTTCTCCATATTCACTTGAAATCCCATTTTCGCTGCCTCGTCTGTCAAATAATTAGTTTTCGCCTGTAGATCTTCGAGTTTGTGCACATTCTATTACTTTATATAGATTTTAAGTATCAGCTTTTGAATAAGTGGGGTTTCTGAGCTTTAAGTGGTTTGAAAGCAGACATAACCTGAAGGACATTGATGTATTCTACACGCAAGGTTTTTCTTTAGACGGTTGGGCACACAAATACCCCTCTCTCTCTCATCAACTCAATCAGCTTTTGTTTGTAGGAGTATGAAGTTGTCAAGCTCAGATGATGTGACAGTGGTAAGGATATGTAACCAATCAGATCTCAGTAAATGGAAAAGTATTCCCATCCATTAAATTTAACTGCATTTCAAATGTATATTTTATTCTTCTCACCTACCTACTTATTTTATAATTCTAGGATACATGTGCAGGTGACAGTGGTGGTGGTCTATATTGTCAACTAGGAGATTCTAATCAATGGTATGTTGTTGGTGTAACAAGTTTTGGTCTAGCACGTGGTTGTGGTTTAAATCCTGGAGTTTACACATCAACTTCATCTCATTTGGATTGGTTATCTAAACAATTAGCAACAAAAGTATTTTAATGAAAAAGAAATGAATAATAATGAACAGAAAGAAAAATACAAAAAAATCACTTTATTTCCTTGATTTTATCAATGAATAAACAACATATACTCGAGCCTAAAGATAGACAGATGTTAATTTTAATCAGGATTACTTGTTTGTTTATCCCATGTAATGAATTATTTATAAAAATAGTTGATTGATTAAATGACTGATTTATATAAAGGAATTACATGTCCTAAGAGTCCTTTACGATTGATAATTTAGTTTCTTTCGTTCAATGTTCCAATATCAGTAAGTATGGCTATGTCGGCAAGCTCTCATTATATTACTTGACGGGTTTCATCTTTACTAGTAAGAAGAAGACGAAATTTACTATGGGCATTATGAGTGCAAACATTGAATTTAGATACATGACAGATGAGTAAAGAAAACTTATGAAGATTATAGTAGTATAGCGTCACTGGTTGAAGGAATTGATGAATACAGGTTAAGAGAATGAGAAATGGGAGATGTAAGGCTGAAAAAGTGTCAGCAAAGTTGAAGGTAAAGTTTTCCCATAAGTTAGGTACCCTAGAAATAAATTGAGTAGCAACACTTCTGTCACATGCAGATTTCAGGCTTCAAAATATCAATTATCATGGCTGCCGGAGTTTGAGGAAGGAAGTTTTAGCTGTATACCTACCATAAGATTTTTGCACACCCTTCATAGATGGCGCCAAGGTTGCTTTCTGAACTTATCGAATGGTCGAAATCTATCAAGTAATGTAAGAACAAGCTGAAAGACACTGTCATTTCATAGCTATGATACCAGGCTGGTGTATGCTTGAAAGTATGTTTAGAAAGTAAACGCTAGATACACCCAACAGATTGTATTCCGCAGAAGCAGATGAACTAATAAAAATACGTCAAGGTTACTAAGGGAGGCAGCAGACTATCCTTCATGCATAATCGAAATTTTAGATAGACTGGGAAAGTTGATCTAGTTTTGGCAGGAAAAATGATCTTTCTGAGTAAGTGTACCAAATGATTTCCTAATATTGCTGTTTATGAACCTTCATAATGATTAGATCTTTGCAAACCAGAAGAGAAGAATAATCATTTTGCTTTGGTTTTAAGTTATTTGCAGTCAAGCATTCAAGATACTTGGTTTTTGAGGAAACCCTATTTGGTTAATTTTTTAGTGTCATTTACGACAAGGAGTACTTTGGATTCATTGAATCAAATCATCAGATCACATTTCGTGTCGGAAAGCAGTCTCTAAAGTTTGACAACTGAATTTGCTCAGTAAATTTACTTGTAATGGACACAACCTGGGAGGATATATTACACTCAAATTATTTTTTAGTCATTTACAACTTTAGCTACCGCTTTACATAAGGGCATATAGGGTGTAATGATATTCAGATTATTTGACTTTTCGTCGTTCATCTATCTTTATAGTTTGTAAAGGGTCTAGATAAAATCTTTAAGTAACTCTGTCCTATCTTGTTTGGTTGGTATTAACCACTCAGTAGATGAGAGCAGTCCTTTCAAGATTATCAATAGAACTTTTCGAATGCCATTCGCACGCAAGATACTGATCTTAGCCTTTTTATCCAGAAAACATTTGTGCATACTTTATCTCTTCTGTGGGTGCGAAAAAACTTGATAAACACCTTTATTAGACATCAATTATATTTCTGTAAGCCACAGTGTGTTTGAAATAAACTAATGCCAATATATCTCACCTGCTGTCCACCCCAAGCAAAATGTTAAGCCGTATCATCCTGAAGAGACTAAAAGATACTCTGAATTCAAAACTACGAATGGAATAGGCTGACTGACTGACTTCGGGAAGAACAAATCATATGCGGATCAAATTGCAACGCTATGCATCATCATAGAACAGAGTATAGAATGGCAGTCAACTCTTTACCTCAACTTCATTGACTTTGAAAAGGCATTCGACAGCGTCGACCGAGAAATAATTTGACAGGCAGTTGCTTCAACACTATGGTTTTAGTGCTACAAACCTTTATCAACCTGATTCAACAGCTATATGAAAAGACCACATGCCAAGTGATCCACAATGGAAAACAGATCAGTGACGCCTTTGGAATGAAGACAGGTGATAGGAATAAGAGAAGGCTGCCACCTACTATCACCCATGATCTTCCTGATTGTGGTCGACTGGATCATGCAACAGACAACAGTGAGGTGTGAGATGGGAATACGCTGAACCTATGAAAAGAGCCAAGAAGAAAATTCGGATTTCGCCCACGATTTATGTCTGATGTCTTGTCGCACAAACTCGAAGGTCTACAGGCGAAAACTAATTAATTGACAGGGGAAGAAGCGAAAATGAGACTTCAAGTGAATGTGGAGAACACGGAGGTAATGAAGATTCCGAACCAACAAACACCAGTCATCACCAAAGTTGGAATTCAAAAGGAAGTTGTCTCTCTCTCACCTACCTAACTAGGCAGGCAGCATCGTTTCAACTACAGGTGTTAGCACTGAAGAGGATGTCAGAGCCAGGAATGGAAAAGCAAGACAGGCTTACATTAACCTGAAACCAGTGTGGAGATCTACTGCACTCAGCATAAAGCGTGAACGACATCCAGATTTTCAACACTAATCCAGTCAAGTAAGTCAGTGCTTCTATGTGATGGTTGAGAGACTTGGCATGTCAAGAGAGGCATTTCCAACAAACTACAGACATTCATCAACAACTGCCGCTTACGCTCACTCCATACTGGAGATGGTGAGCAGATGGCTAGAAAGAATAAGCAACAAGGAACTCACTGTGGCGACGAAACAATCGAGAACCTCTCTCCCAATAAATATATGGGGGAAAGTGTAGATGGATTGGACATACACCGAGAAGGCCGACTGGAGACATTGCGCAGCAGGTGAGATACTCGAGTGGAAGCTGAAGGGGGAACGACGAGTTGGGCGTGTGAGGTGAGGGTGATATGTAGGAGATAGTGTGAGGACGAAATGAAGGGTTGTGGGTAGTCATGGTGCCAGGTGCAAAAGACTGGAGAGGAGGGGGTGTAATGGAGATGTGTTACTGAAGCTTTATATTCCACTATGAACCCAAGGGAAAAAATTAATAATAATATTTCTCTCGGAAGTCTGGTTAGGTAAATAATCAAGAACTAAAATATGAGAGATGCATAAATAAATTTAAAAATATGATCGGAAAAGTGGATTATGTACATATTTTTGAATGCGTTGATATGTGTTTTATATTGGTACTGTGTGATGATCAAAGGTGAAGTGAAGATTTAGGTCGTGGTGGGATTCAAATCATCGACCACTAGTCAGGTACTCTACTAACTGAACTTAGAAATCCGATTTCTAATCAGGTCTCAAATCTACTTCAATTTCTGATGGTTTCGCTCGATTACCATATAAATTCGCCATACGTTACAACCACTTGATGGTACTTACATTCGCTAGGCAGTTAGGACTGCTTATCCCAATCGAAATCTACTTGAATTCGAGAGGGAGAGCATCATATTGATTATCCTTTGGATCATCTCAGACAGTCAGGATGATATCTTTTATATACTAATCTTGATTATTTCCCTGAAGAAGCTTGGACCAAACTTCCGTGATAAACATTGAAATTATTCTATTTCTAACACACTGTAAGAGAACATTGAAAAATACTGTCTATTCTGTTTCTAGGAAGGATGTATTGATTTTGCCATTACACAGTGATAATGCAAAATGTTTTGATAGTCAGAGAGGGATTAAGCACAGCTATCAGTAAAACAATACCCAGGTAAAGTTGAGTTAACTTAAACTTCAAAGTCAGTATACCCATCGAAATCTTCATACAGATATTTGATTTGCCTGTTTTTTCAAGTGATATTACTCCATTCTACAAAATAGTCGAAAATGTTTTTTGGGCATACTGCCTTATTTCTTTTTCACCGATTATTGCTCAGTCTGTTTGTCTGTCTATCCCTCTGGGTTATTTTCGATTGCACTACATTCCTCCTCAGAAATCTTTCAATATTTCTTCCTGAATTCAGTCGCATAAATTTTAATGAGTAAATATTACTTAATGAGTTGACGTTTCATTCACAATTCCTCTAAGGAACAAGATTTCAGTTCCCCTCCAGTTTGTTTATTTGATATCTCATAAGAAGAAACAGTATTACTAAATGATGTACATTTTGGACATAACTTATCTTCCGTGTTCACATCAAGATAACTTTGAGCCACGATTTATATAGTTCTAATTCTAATTTTCTTCTTTGTGGTGTAGGTGGCGGAATTTTCCATGCCTCTGAAATAGGTGTTGTACGTTCTTCATGTTGACTGGATAAAAAAGAATGCAGTTATCAGTCTCTCTTTCCACCCGACTAAGAGGGTTCTAAGGACTGTCACTATGTTCCATACTATTGCATACATAGCTATCGACATTCTTTCCTCTATATTCCTCATCCATCAGTCGTCTTTTAGCTGGGTTTCGTGTTGAGAGGAAGACAGAGAGAACAATTGACTTTGGTCAACAAATTTAACCTGTGTTCGACCATGCTATCACTGCAAGGAATTTTATTCACAGTAGTAATGAATATCCAGAAAAGTTTCCAGCTAAAAGTATGGACATATCAAATATGAAAACCATAGAAACAACATTTTCCAAGAAACCTCTGTTCCCATGACTACGATTTCTGGACCACATCATCGGCAAAATTGTGACACGACGCCTAAGACAACCCATAAGAAGATCATTTAATGCAGCACAGTTATGTTGTGTATTCTACAGTTGGCCAATGATAACCACATGAATCAAAGACAGACTACCTGACTTCGCCTCTTCTGTGTGCATTTACCAGTCAAGGAGTCAAGTTGAAAAGACTGAAGAGAAGAGAGTGAAATGGCAGCATGCTACTGAGGCCCTATATTCCACTAGGAACTCAAGAGAAAAATAATATTAACAAATAATAATAAGACAAAAGTAGGAGAAATTAGGAGTATATAACATTTATCAACTACTCTGAAACATTTGAGATAATAA